TTAATGTATGACATTGGTTACAAATACAATAACCGCTGCTCTGATTTATTTACAGAATTTTATCCCCAAACCATTATTACATTTGGTAATAAATGACCAGTCACCTAAAACATCGTCGAAAAATGCCCTCGGTGAGTAGAGTGCCGACGTCGGGCTGATCAGTGACCATTCTCGTGTATTCTTAATATTGGAAATAAAAATTATGTTATGTGAAGTACAAAAAAGTAAGAGGAATTCTAAAGAGATTAGTAGGAAATGCTAGAAAGTGCAGTTTCTATGATCATAAAGGGAAATTGCAGGACGTCCAAGTCTAAAAAATTGGCAGAGAGCTTTACGTGCAATTGACATCTTCTCACAATTTTTTTAAATAATTTGTCGCCGACCCCGTAACTCAGCTGTCGGGTAAAAATAACCATGACCCTTAAACCATGTGTCCTATAAAAATTTAAGGTGTGACCACCGTATATGTCTACGTAATAGATGTGGCAAGGAATATATTGAGGAATCTGTGCACAAAATCAATACCCGATCCCTTAATTTTAAGTTGAGGGTGCCTCGTATATAAAAAATGATTGCAGGATGAATCTTTAATCGCGTGGTAAGATTTTCTTCCGGTTCTATAATTCAGTATCGCTCAAGCATGCTAACAATTTACATACAGGAGACTTTACATCTATATGGTAACGTGATCTTACACGTACGTGCTACGTATTGACAACGAAAACGTGTGCGACATATTGAGTAAAACACGGTTTGATTTAGTTTAACGTGAGAGATTAGAGTGTAACATTTTAATTAATTTTAGGATAACAGTTTTCTCCGAAAAAATCTTACTAATAATTAGCTGTATCCACACAAACTAACATTAAAGTGACTAGGAAAGGAACCTAACATTGCACATTAAGCCGAAATACGTATTTTCAGCAATAGCTGCAATTGTTATATTATGATTATATAAAACAAAACATACAATAGGAATATGTAACACCATACAGCAAAATAGCAGTAGTAAACATTTGACTATAATGTTCACAATGTGGCCTCTTTTTGTTTTTTTCTCCACCGTGTGTCTGTAAAGGTATACGTGCATAAGAAAAGAATCATTGGGAGCCATCCGTCGAGCGTACATACCTCAGTTCAGGAAACGATTAGTGGAAAATCATCAATATTAAGGCAAATCCGTGAAAAAGGTCAACCTTCGAAAGGCAACCGAGAAATAGTCTTGCATTTTTTAGCGTATTATGAATTTATGATACAGTCGGTGCAAAGGGTAAGTTATAACAAGGACAGCTCCAATTCAGCGAAAGATTACAAAGCAAGACGAAGCATTGGCAAAGAAACATGATGCAACCTCTACTATCCCTTAATCTTTTTGATTGTTGTAATAACTGAATCTGACACCCTTTACTCAGCAACATTTGGACTCTGTTTTTTTACCTGAAAATTTAGAAACAGTACTGCATCCGCATTCAGACACCTTGATAACGATAAATAAGTACACTGAATTGAAATGAGATCGTTCCAGTTTCCACCTTTTTCCCACATACAACTTTTATATCTATTGAAAACAACCTGTTTCCAAAAATTTGACGAAAGATATGCGTGGTCCCGTTATCTATTACTAAAGCAATAGTCCCCTTAAATGTTACGGATGAAAACAAAATATTAGTTCCGTTTCCGTTTCCGTAACAGTTGTCGGACAGCTCCTTCAACCAGGTGGCTACTCGCTGATCCTTTAACGACTTTCTTCCTCGAATGCAGCTTACATACAAATCCTGATACCAACGATTAATTCTCATGCGGAACAAGGATGGATCAAATTAAAATAGCTAATAGCTTGTTACAAATATCTGTAACTAAAAAATTTCTACTGCGTGGCCCGAAAATCCACCATATCGATATAGAAAAATTCCCTGTATAGCCCCTATACTATAGAATGGCGCATCTAAAAAAGAAAGCTCTAGAGTATGCGTCTATACTTGATCAAAAACACGTTATCACCAACGAGCGCTAAAAGCTTCACGCAAAGAAACAGAATTTTAGAAACAAATTGAGCTTTTCAAGTTGTAGGTACGTATAAAGTGAAATCGTCTATTTTAGGTAGGGTATATATTCGTGATAGATGTCATTAATCTATCAACTAGAATGTTCTCATAAACCTGATAATGTGTCCCATAATCAGTGACTACCGAACACTAAACGTTGTAAACGCTGTCCCAAAGGAAATTTCAGTAAAACCTCAAAACCAACTCCTTTACCTTTACTTATTTTAGCTCTCTGAGTAAAATCTGTGCTACCTAAACTATGAGATTTCCGATCACCCGCAGAGTCTATTTCTGCCGTAGATCCTGCCGTTTTCATAATATTGGTAAACAATTGTAGGGAATATTTCCAAAGCAATTTACTTTCGCGTACCTTTTGGCATTACTTCAATCACGCTTGGGTGTAGGCACCGAAAAATTCTTACATATTGCATTCATATTAATAAAGCTTCGAGGTGTAGCGCTAGAAAATTATTTGGAAATTGGAAACAACGTACCAACTATATTGCAAGAATACGCAAGGGGAAATGTTTTGTTTATACTTTCTTAGCATATATTAAAATGTACAGTCACGGCACCTAAACGCTATTTTTTTTGGGTATCAATGAGACGGCGTTATTGCGTTACAATACGCAGCATTTGAGTGTATTTAAATCTTTTTACTCGTCAACTTGTTTTAGGAAATTATGTATCACTTTAGAAAGAACAATATTTTCATTTTAATGTAAGCATTTATGTATGACAAAATGGTCGAGGCTGTTTTAAGTGTAGTTGACGAGTTTCTCGCACCTCACATCTAGAGTAGGAGTTATTTCCCCAGGGCGTCAGCCTTAGCACCCGGTTGAAGTTCTCTGCGGCCTTTCGGGTTAGGGCAAACATGGAGCAATTTGCATTGAAATTTATGTTATTGTTGACTAGAAATGTATTTAGGATTCACATTCACGAAATCTTAACAGGGTATTATAATCTATAAGGTTATATAACAACGAGCGGATTAGAGGTTGTGTTTTAGTGGATGCACTATAATTTAATCCTTTAATTTGTGCACAAAAGGTTTCAGGCAATTTGTACCGAATTTCAACTCTTTAACTGCTGTAATTGATACACTGCCGGAGCTAGATTATCGAACGTATACAAAATAACAGCGAGACTACGCGATGCTCCTTTATAAAAGGAACACCGGGAGAATTATGACTGTGAAAAAAATTTTTGGGAGTATACCACTGACAAAAGAGGGTTTCGATGGAACTTTTTTTAAAAACATTTTGAGGTTTTCTAGTTTTAACTTATGAGAGGAATAATTTGTTTCTATTACAGTAGACGTATCAAATTACAGACCAAATCGTTCTGCAGTGACACCTAGAGCGCATGGGACCGAGTAACGAACAAAATCACAACAAACATTGTAAAATAGATTAGTGATAAAAATGTATGACGGTGTGGAAAAGTTAATTTTTTTAAATTACCACTTTATTCCGACAATTAGACATATATCTTCCTTTTTTCTAAAATTATACAGAACTAAAACTACACCTTTTTACCTGGCAATATAGCCACGTTTTTTGTCAATTGCCGCTTTTTGGGGATATTATTAGGTAAAACTTAGTCCTGACAAATATACGTAATTAACGAATTTTTGTGACAAGGATATACAACACTTGAAGGCCGATTTCATTCTCTAGTTGAATCAGAACTGCGTCAAATAAATTCAAATTTGATTTGTTCGAACATTTTTTTAAATCTTCGCAAACTGGTTTATTAGCGGGTGAAAAGATGAATGAGTTTAGCGCCAACGCGGCGACCTTGTTTAGTACGGTTGTCCATTTTAGGCAGCTTTTATATATAACTTCTGAGACGTTCAGCCCAACCCAATGCAATGATAATGTGCTCTTGGATTTTCATTTTGTTCTGTTAACGAATGCCATATGGTCCTAAAATGTGTGTAAAATTTGATTCCTAGAATCATTTTTGATATGTTAATCATCACCTTGTTCACGACATACAAAAATAGGCACCTAATGGACTCTAGTATTTATTGGGTAATGAGTTTTTTATCATTTTTCTTGAAAAGCTGGAAAAAGTTAATATAATTTTCCAGCGACGTCGGAAGTGAATAACGGTTGGGGGGGGGGGGGGCAAAAATCAGCGACCATGGAGTCTGAAAGGTCCCTTCCATGCAAAATTGTGTACGAATTAATGCAAAGCAGTGGGTTTTTTAAGTGACCCTGGAACCTGTTTATTTAATCATTCAAATAATGTATTTTTGAAAGAAAAGTTTTGAAAAAAATTTAAAAAAGTGTCGGAGGATGTCTATAGTTATATGCAACTGCGCAACTCAGAGATACTTGACTCGATTGAGAAAACCATAGCCGTAGATCATTAATATGTTATTTAAAAAATACCTAATGAAGGACTAGAACATACAAAAGTTAAAAAAATGTTGTTCCTATTTATTGCACTATTGAGCATTGTAAAGAAAAGCTAGTATAAACAATTAAATATATCCAAAAATTTTCCGCCTTTCCGCAGTTTTTCTGGCATATTCTTTCAATATATCCTCTACTTCTACACTTTTTGTAATTTCTGCGTGCACATGCAGTAGAAGATGTGTTAGTCGCATTTTAGTGATTTATCTACTCATTCTTAGAGGGGGAGCGACCCCCCTTGTGTAAAAACTGAGGGGGCGACTCGCCCCCTCTAACCCATACTTCCGACGTCGCTGTAATTTTCATAATTTGTCAAACAAAGCCTTTGTGATAAGATTAGGTATCGTACTCGTATTTATATAGTGATTTATTCATTTTTTAATCGCTTGACAAAGTGTATGATAAAGTTCACTGAGTAATTGGGTAGCTCCATGTGGAGATAATAATGCCATTGCCACTGTTTTTGCATACCTTATCAAACACTTCATCGATTGTTTTAAAAGGCAAATCTATTCCGTATCTTGTTCTTTTCACTGAGCGCGCCAAGATGAAGGTACTACTTGTGTTCCTAACATTTACAATTTTAGGATTTGCTTCGCGTTCTAATGGTAGGGATCTCCTTTGAAAGATTTGTTGATAATCTTTAATTGTTTAGGTTTTCGTTCAAGCAGAAGATATGTTCCCAACGAAAACGATCCCTACCGTTTTAAAGAAATAGCATTCGAGGACGATATAGGAAAATTACATTTTGAAAACTTAAGCGTGGAGCATCTTCAAGAGAGGTCTATTACACCAGGAGATGTTACATTACATTTGTTTACCCGAAAACATCCTAAAACCAGCGTAGCAGTGCCAATAAATAAAGCAGGAGATTTGTTAAGACATAACCAGTCCTTCAACGCTTCAGCTCTCAACTACTTCATTATACATGGATGGAGGAACAACTATAAAAGTAACGTAAATGTGGTTATCACCGAGGCAATTCTAAACAATTACGATGTTAACGTCTTTGTGGTCGACTGGAGCACATATGCATTTAAATTTTATACAACATCTAAGGCAGCTGTGCCACAAATTGGACTGTTTCTGGCAAATTTTATCAGTGACTTACTTAAAGAATACCAGATACCTCATACACAGTTTGTGTTAGTTGGCCACAGTCTTGGTGCGCATATAGCTGGTTGTACTGGATCCGCTTTAAGCGGCCAAATCGACCACATAATTGGATTAGACCCAGCAGGGCCGTTATTTTCTTTAAACCAACTTGATAATCGATTAGATGAGACTGATGCCAAATTTGTTCAAGTTGTTCATACAAACGGATACCTGCTAGGTTTTAGTAGTGCCATCGGTCACGCAGACTATTATCCTAATGATGGCAATAGGCAGCCCGGTTGTGGAATTGATCTATTTGGCAAATGCGCTCATTCTCGAGCTTACTACTATTACGCGGAATCAATATGGCAAGGTGGATTTGAAGCGGAAAAATGTCTCACATATGATGAATTTATGAACTCAAACTGTATAACGCACAAAAAATCCTTCCTTGGGACGTTTTTTATTGATAAAAGGTAGGTGGGTGCACAATTTGTATTTATTAACAACATCTAATTTAAGTGCGTACGGTGATTATTATTTAGATACGAATAGAGAAGCGCCTTTTGCATTGGGAACTAGATGATCTGTGGATATACTCCTATGCTCACAACGTCGCGTCAAATGAGTTGAAGCAAAATACCTACGTGTACCGCATCAACAGTATTGCAAGCCCAGGCAGAATATCCGTAAAGATATTAAAATTTCAACACAGTGCTGTAGGTTAAAATAAAGGATTTGATTTTCGTACTTCGATAGATTGCATTTCTTATTTTTCGTTATTCACTGTGAATAAATACAGTCAAATTCCTTCATTCTAATCGATTCTATTTGTTCAACTTTCTTATTGTTCAAATTAGAGAACGTGTTAACAAATTCATACATTTTCTAAATAACCGATTTTTATATGGGACTTTTTATATGACAAAAACTGACTTGTAACTACGAGTATAACAACATAATTCTTTCAAATACGTTTTTCTACAACATCCTCCCACCATCATTCCTCAATAAATTAGAGAGAGGAATTACCCTCTTCATTCAACTCCAGTTTATAGAGTGTCGGTGAACTGGTCGTAGATACTCTCCTCTGATTGTCTTCACTAGAACAATTCGAACGTGACCGTCTTTTCCTCTTAACGTCTTAGTTACGATTCCCATTGGCCAATCCAGACGTTTAGTTTTTTTGTGGCCCTCAGAAAAAATTGTCTCAGATCGACCCGGAAAAAAAAATGTTCTTATAGAATGTGGCCTGTAGAATCCATAATTTCAAACAGTTCCAAGATTGGGCTACTAGTTCAAAAGTTACCGCCCTTTGAATTTTCTTTCGAAATTGGTTTCTTTTCTAGTCTATAACCTTTTATTGAGAAGTCTGATCGAAAAAGTACGGCTTGTTTTGGATTCTACGCACCAAAATTAATAAGAAAAAGTGTTTTCCCGAGACATTTTGGTGCAGTCGATTTTTGGTAAAAAAGGAAGGTTGTACACTGCCTTTTTTGGAGGACCTCAGAAAAAATTGTCTCAGATCGACCCGGAAAATTTTCTTATAGAATGTGCCCTGTAGAATCCATAATTTCAAACAGTTCCAAGATTGGGCTACTAGTTCAAAAGTTACAGCCCTTTGAATTTTCTTTCGAAATTGGTTTCTAGTCTATTACTTTTGATTGAGAAGCCTGATCGAAAAAGTACGAATTGTTTTGGATTCTACGCACCAAAATTAATAAGAAAAAGTGTTTTCCCGAGAAATTTTGGTGTAGTCGATTTTTGGTAAAAAAAGAAGGTTATACACTGCCTTTTTTTGAGGCCCGCAAAAAAATTGTCTCAGATCGACCCGGAAAAAAATTTTCTTATAGAATGTGGCCTGTAGAATCCATAATTTCAAACAGTTCCAAGTTTGGGCTACTAGTTCAAAAGTTACAGCCCTTTGAATTTTTTTTCGAAATTGGTTTCTAGTCTATAACTTTTGATTGAGAAGTCTGATCGACAAAGTACGAATTGTTTTGGATTCTACGCACCAAAATTAATAAGAAAAAGTGTTTTCCCGAGAAATTTTGGTGTAGTCGATTTTTGGTAAAAAAGGAAGGTTGTACATTGCCTTTTTTTGAGGCCCTTAAAGAAAATTATCTCAGATCGACCCGGAAAAAAATGTTTCTTATAGAATGTGGCCTGTAGAATCCATAATTTCAAAAAGTTCCATAATTGGGCTACTAGTTCAAAAGTTACAGCCCTTTGAATTTTCTTTCGAAATTGGTTTCTAGTCTATAACCTTTGATTGAGAAGTCTGATCGAAAAAGTACGAATTGTTTTGGATTCTACGCACCAAAATTAATAAGAAAAAGTGTTTTCCCGAAAAATTTTGGTGCAATTGATTTTTGGTAAAAAAGGAAGATTGTACACTGCCTTTTTTTGAAGCCCTCAAAAAAAATTGTCTCAGATCGACCCGGAAAAAAATGTTTCTTATAGAATGTGGCCTGTAGAATCCATAATTTCAAAAAGTTCCATAATTGGGCTACTAGTTCAAAAGTTACAGCCCTTTGAATTTTCTTTCGAAATTGGTTTCTAGTCTATAACTTTTTATTGAGAAGTCTGATCGATAAAGTACCAATTGTTTTGGATTCTACGCACCAAAATTAATAAGAAAAAGTGTTTTCCCGAGAAATTTTGGTGCAGTCGATTTTTGGTAAAAAAGGAAGGTTATACGCTGCCTTTTTTTGAGGCCCGCAAAAAAATTGTCTGAGATCGACCCGGAAAAAAATGTTTCTTATAGAATGTGGCCTGTACAATCCATAATTTCAAACAGTTCCAAGATTGGGCTACTAGTTCAAAAGTTACAGCTCGTTGAATATTCTTTCGACATTGGTTTCTAGTCCATAACATTTTATTGAGAAGTCTGATCGAAAAAGTACGAATTGTTTTGAATTCTACGCACCAAAATTAATAAGAAAAAGTGTTTTCCCGAGAAATTTTGGTGCAGTCGATTTTTGGTAAAAAAGGAGGTTGTANGAATTTTGGTAAAAAAGGAAGGTTGTACACTGCCTTTTTTGAGGCCCTCAAAAAAAATTGTCTCAGATCGACCCGGAAAAAAATTTTCTTATAGAATGTGGCCTGTAGAATCCATAATAAATCGCTAATTATCACAATATTTAACAAAAAAGTACCTTCGGCCTAACTTAGAACCTAAAAAAAACCTTACCTGTAAAGCACAAAAAGTCTTCTAAAGTGCCTCAAAAATCATAGTACATTTTTAACGAAAAAAGTTTAACAATTATTTAAAAAATAATTCGCCGTTATCAGTTTCATTAACAAAGTAAACAGAGTCGTCCCCTTGGCCGACAAATTCCTCAGTCCCGCAAATCCCTTGGGATCCCGCTCCATTTATGTGCGGGATTAATCTCGCAAAAATGCTGCGGGATCCCTCTATTTCGGGATCCCGCAATCCCGGTATTGCATTCCCTATACAGGACAAAGGTTCTGATTGGATTGGTAAGATTCCATTAGAGTGTAATTATAATTGTAAGCTAAATGAAACGTCAGTCGATCAACTGCATACATCTACTTTGTAATTAAACAAATGGAATTCAGTTTACTAGAGCTACGAATATCAAAATTAAAGACACTTTCAAAAACGACATATTGATAATTAGAAATGCTTGCTACTTGTAAGTAGTAGGTAGTTGTTTTTTGTTTGTTACCTGCGTTTTACTTGCAGAAAGGAGGGATCGTATATCAGTGTAGATAATCATCTTCTAGTAATGTATTAGTTTAATTAAATTTATTAATTTAATCACCAGATTAAAAAAATACGTGCCAATTCCAGCATTTGCGTCTTCGAATTGGATAGGCAAGATTGCGCCCAAGCGCATGTGAATATTTGATGATAACTAAATTAATAGGTGCATTTAGTATAAATGCTTAAGCTAATAGTGTTTTATAATGAAGTTTAATTAAGGAATACAATCTCCACCAATAGCACTTAGTAGTTCATTAAGTAAATCTAAATATCTAATGCTTACGAACCAAATAGTGTATGTGGGGTTGTGTTCATCGAAGGTTTAATAGTATCCCGTAAACAATCAATGGCGTAAGAGCAAAGTTCGGTCCTGAGATGTCCGGCGGTTATAACATAAAGCCTTTCTAATTCGGCGGCAAATTTGAATTAGAAGAGATTAATTGAGAGAAAGGGGCGCATTGAAATGAATTAACGGATTTAGACATTCTTTTTGGGCACAAATCTTGTAATTGAAGCTGATTAAGTGTACTTTAAAACATGTCGACTTCCTTTATTAAATTTGGTGTGGTGATTACGTCGAAAAGGTGAATGAAATAGCGTTTGTTCGAAGCTTCTCTATAATAAATTTAACCTAATTATTTCCACTGTCAATAAAGTTGATACCACACTCATCTCGAGCTAAACTCATTATCTTCACAAAACGTAATCTATATTCTAAGAGGATTCCAACATTTTTCTTTTTCTCAATTCTACACAAAAGCTAAGGCGTGGTAGTCCTAGTCGTTAAGTTGTCAGACATATTACACATCCTGCACCGTTTAATTTCTACTAACACAAAATCTTGAAGGGGTTTTCACCAAGTTCAAAGGATAATTCAGACATTTTAATCCTCGTTTTTGCGTTTCTAACTTTATGTCTAGATTCATAACTTTTGAGAAAAGTTACGACTTTGATTTAGTAAACATAAAACAAAACTTTTTATGTAATACACTTTTCAAGAGCGATTCAGTTACCGCATATTTAGTATTTATTCATCAAAATTTTACAATACAATTAACTCCAGCTATTATATACATATGATAGACATCAATAATTTCTCTCACAAATAATTTAAACGATAATTAAACCGGGAAACAGTGTTTAACATATTTGGTCGCTTATTAATATTATTTATCTCGGTCAGATGCAGACTGAATTATTATCTCCGATCCTGATAGGTCAGTGTACACGGTGTTGAAGTTTACTTACATTTTCTTTGCATATTTTTGCATACTATAAATGTACGCATTTTTCGTAGTAAAAATTGTAACTTTTCTCACTTCTGCCAGCTCTGCCGGCTATAACCCTTCAGAGGTTTTTCAGTTGATTTAAACAAGTCGACTTTCTATGAATTTTAGAGGGAAGAACAGCAAGACTATAGTGCTACATTTGGTAGTTTGTTTACTGTCCCTTTTAGTATAGCAAAAAATCGTGTAATCTGTTTCACTTCCGCCAACTCCTTCGGTTAAACCTTATAAGTTATAACGCTTCAGGGATGTTTCTTTTTCAGTCGATATAAAAGGAGTCGACTTTCTATGAATTTTAGATGCAATTTTTGGTCGTTTGTGCACAGTGCCGCTTAATATAATCAAAGTAGCACATTTTCCAAACTCATGTTGGAAGGCGCTATTGTGGCCACGTCCGTCCGTCTGTCTGAGGCCGCAGCTACTGCAGATTTCAATATATTTAGCTCTTTTTGAATTCGGTAGCTTACAGCTCTGTGGCACCTGAACAAAAAAAATCTTTGCCATTATTTGAGTATGCCCAGGCCGCGCAATATCAACTTTCTTATTTATTAATATATTTTGTTGAAATTTTAACCACATAATATGCTTCTAGTAAAGGCAAATATATCGCTTATAGTAACTTTCTTATTTATTGGAATATTTTTTGAAATTATAACTAAAGATCCTTCTAGTAAAGGCAAACACTAATTAAAGTATGTCAAAAAGAAGGTTTTGAGAAATACATTAATTTGTTGAAAAAACG